TTCCAGCTATATGGCGGCGTTCTGTAAATCATCGAGTCTGCACAAGATAATCCAGTAATCAACAGCATGAGCATCGATCTGCGCAATTGGGATACGATGACATGACCACTCGATCCCCTTAGTCACCTCCTACAGCAAACATTGGTTGCCAATTCTAACCCGGTTCTCTACGCTCCGATGCTGCCTTGTGTGAAAGATTGGCGGGCCCTGTTTTATCTTAATATTGGCGTTTGCGAATAGTAAAAGCTTACTTTTCAGAGGAAAGGACACGAGAATTGTGTTCAGAAAAACCGAGAATGACAACACTGTTTCTCCATTATAGTGCCATAAACACTCGTCCACAACAAATAAAAACCTTTTAAACTGTAATCGCCTAGAGTTCATATATTTCAGGGGCAGTGGGGTAGCCTACTGGTTAAGGCCTTCGCTCGTCACGACCAAGGCCCGGGTTCGATTCCCCACATGGGCACAATGTGTGACGCCCATTTATGTCCCCCGCCCTGATGTTGCTGGAATATTGCTAAAAGCGGCGTAAAACCGTACTCACTCAATCACATATATCCTAACTAAAGAGCCTCAGGTGAGATTCTGCAGCTGCATTCATCGTTATACCAGTCAGTTGGTCTTCAGTAACCAAAGCTTGTCCTAAGAGGCGACTAACGGGATCGGGTGGTCAGGCTTGGTGCCACATCTCATCGTATCCCAAATGCGTAAATCGATGCTCATGATGTTGATCACTGGATTTTCTGGTCCAGAGTCAATTATATAGAGGTGCCAATGTGCACTGCCGCACATCGCACATAACAACACAAAACCTGTGTAGATTAAACGATTGTTTATTGGTCAGCCACAGAGTTATTTACGACGGACTGTAGATAATCTGATTAACGTTGTTGCTTTATTTCGATCTTATTGTCTAATTATACTGGCAAGGTTGTTAATAATGATAGTTACTCTATCTTGACAGAATTATGTGATGTATTTTGATGAAGGTATTGATGACAACGGTGTTGATGGGTGAAGTTAATTATGAATTAGATTAGCTGCGCAGATTGTATACCATCATTTGTATAACTGGTAGATGTGATTTGATGAGCGGATGGTAAACATAGCCGTCAATACTGATAACTGCATTGCACTGAGGATCTGTCAGCTTAACTCTGATCATGAAGGAGATACTGATTATGTCCAATGTTCGTCAATCAGATATTTACTCATGAATACTGAAGTGAATAATTCAGATGTGAAACATTTTGTATATTGTCACTGTTATGATGTTATGTGATGACATCTGGCTGCAGCATGTCAACATACACTAGACGCCAAAAGAAACATTACCCTCCTACATTTATGAATTACTGAAAAACCATCAAAGATATTTTAGAAGGTTTTAGTTTACAAGAAAGTTTAACAACACAGCTTTATGTAAATCACGAAAAATAATTCTCAAATGCATTTTTCAACTATTAAAACAAGAAACAAGTGTTGTAGAGTGTGTAGAATTGTAAACTAATCATTGCTATGATTTCAGTCTTTTAAAACATTTTCTGCTGATTTACATGAGTGAAAAAATGTTCAGGAACATCTAAAATTATCTTTGTTAACATTTATGCTTGCAAAGTAACATTTTTCCATTTTCTGTTTACACATAGCAATATCAATCGCCAAAACGCAGCAATATTCAAGCAGTATTTACATCCATTTCACATGTAGCTTCTATAGGGTATAAAGAGAGCCTAGAAGACATGATCTGATACACAAGTACGAGAAATATGCCACGATTAACAGCTGAAGGGAGAGAAAGAGCCATTGGGATGGTGCAGATGGGGTCGACATACAATGCTGTTGCCAACGCCCTCGGATGCCACCGTATCACTGTTATAAGACTTATTCAGGGCTTCAGACAGACTGGGATCACCGTAGACAGACCAAGAAGTGGTCGTCCACGCGAGCTGAAGATAGGTACCTCCGTCATTAGGGAAGGAGGGTAACGTTGTTTTTTGGGCGTTCAGTGTATGTTAATTAGAATTGGCCCGAAAGTGCACAGCAGTGGAATAGATTTTCTACTGCTTCTATTCTTACCAGTTTCAATTATAAAAATTGGTTAAAACAGTCAAGGGCTCTAAGTATAACCATCAGCCATTTCCATGGCATCACATAATTCATTGTAGGTTTTGTATGCATTGCATTCCTGCTGAGCAGTCTTTCCAACTTTTTTGAATGTCCATATTTTCATGTTTTGACATGCAGCAAGTCTTGCTTCCTTTTCCTTTTTCTGTTCCTTGTGGTGCTGAAACCACTGGGGTGGGGTTGATTTTCTTTCAGGCTTTCCTAAGGGCTTTGGGTGGTAGTGAGTGGATTTGATTCACTTTCAACAGTGGTTTGTTCTTGAGTGATACTTTGGGGCTCAGGGTTAAACTGTTGGAATTCGGGCACCATCGTACTCTAAACAACCTGTAACGTGATCACCTTTTAGAATTTCATACATCTGGTCAAAATATTCCCGTTTACCTCGTGAATTTCCACTTTTGTTATGGGCAATGGTCTTTCTGAAGTGGCTTTTAAGATTCCGAAACTTGCGTTCAGCATCAGTATGTAAGAATGTTACACCCTAAGTTGCGCATTTCACTGGCAATAATCCGACATACAGATACTTTTTTTCTTGGTTTGTTGACTTGTCTTTGTGTTCCCAGTACCTCTCCAACAGGAGTTTCGTAGATTGGCAGTTCCAATCGAATGTTTCTGTGAAAGATTAGTTCATGAAGTCCAAGCATAATACCAAATTAGAACTCAAGTTGTAAAAAGGTTAAAACTAAAATAAGTCTAATTTGATTTGATCATATTTCTTCTCTTGATATGTAGATTAACCTATGATCTATTAGAAAATGAAATTGCTGACCACCCTAAATGCTGACATAATAGTGTTTTTCAAGAGTAATGAAAATGGCGGCCAATCTCATTTCACTGACTACTTGGCCTACTTGTTCAATCTTACGAAATATAACCACTAATGATTATGGTTATAATTAGCTTACATCAAATAAATCATAATGTGACAATCGCGGCATTAATGATTGATTGGTGTATTGAAAGTAAATATATTTCCAACCAATACCAAGAATGTTGTGACCTGTTACAAATACAGAGAAACCACAAAGCATCGTATTCTCCAATAAGTGAACACCATTCTCCATTCGAACTGAGAATAAACATGGCAACTTTAACAACTTATCTTATTCGATACTACTGGTCTGGTTGTGGAGTTTGGCAGACTATATGCAATATTAATATTATATGGTATAACTTTCAAAAAAGAGCCTGACCAAACGTCTCCTGTTGACTGTTCAGACTGTACAGTCTGGCTGCTGCATGATGGCTACCAGAACTGCTGAACTGCTTTCAGTCTCTGGCACGGAAGGAGACTGGAAGGTAAGCGGAGGTTGACTACCGTCGTTTGACATCTGCACAGACAGATTATTCAACTGTAAAATATCGCTGTAACGTATGCGATGGATATCTGCCCCAACTTTTCCCCAACGGGGGTCAGATTCTGCAGTATATGAGGACAACCCTGGTCAGAATAACCGTGCACAATGACTGATGTCCCTTTGCCCATTTTCTCCACGAAGACATCACTTGTCGTCTGCTCTGAACCACGTTTGTTGCTGAAGTCTCCATGCGGACAAGGTGGTGGTACACTTGCGGGATCACTCTCCTAAGTCGTACCACAGGACAGGTTATCTCCCCTAGACAACAAAATAAACAGAAGTGTCCTTATGCCCTGTGTGCTAAAAAATAATGGAAGTTTAAACAACCATAGAGAAAAGAAATCATTGCAATCTCAGACAAGTACTATACTACTCAAAAGTGGTCCAAGAAAACCCCATTCTTTCACAATACCATGCTAACAATCTACAATCGGATTGACAAAAGTAATGGTACAGAATCAGATGTTGTTTAATTTCTTTTGGGTAGCATACATGATTTAGATCATTAACTTTGCATGTCATTTTATAAAATATCATTATCTCATAATGATTGGTCCCTGGAATAGTAATCAGAATTTTAGCGCTTGAATAAACTATACTAGGCGTCATTAATAAAGGGTCAAATAATATATAGCACACGTAAAGAAAAGCTGACAAACGTGGCACATCGTGACATACAGACAAAACAGCACTAGCATACACCAGTTGTTTAGACCAACCCCCAAAACTGAAAATGACAAACATGAAGCACTCGTTCATTCAATATCTTGTGTACCCTCCTCGCGCATCCAAGATACAGGTGCACCTTGTTCTCATGCTCCTTACCAAGTTTATAAAGAAAGCTTACCAAGGAACACCTAGTGGGGTGGATCTGTCTTAGGTTGTACCGACACCACCTATTTACTCACATTTATTGTCATTATATAGGCGTACAAGCAAAGACAGATCGTCCTCTAGGGTTAGATAAATGGGTGGTCACGTGGTTTTATATATACTATGCGAGGGCGCATTTGTTTTTCTTAGGAGGGAAAGTTGAAGCGCAATAGGGTATCATTAGCTTATTCTAAAACGTACTGGTCATTACGTCATTCTGCAATATATATATATATATATATATGAGAAGATTATATTTATATAACATTTATATAATACAGTATATTTATATTTCATTATATTTACAATTGTGAACATTTTTACATCATATATATTTACAAATTACGAGCATTCTTACATCATATATATTTTCAAATTATAAGCATTCTTACATATTTACAAATTTTACAGTGTAGACTCCTACCTTTCTGCTGGTTTCCACCACTCCACAACAGAGATGCTGATGTGGCGGACGCCATGGTCACCAGGGATCTCTTCCTTCCTTTCCTCCTGCCTGTGTCTTCTGACCCCTGCTGGCCATCTATATAGATTGTTAGGGTCTCCCTTCCTTCTTCTTTCCCTTTCTTAACCTATCTGCTTCTCCTTCCCCCTCATTTCTTTCTCCTTCATCTCCTTCTCTCACTCTTCTTTCTCCTTTTCTCTCTGCCTTTCCTGCTTTCTTCTTTTTCTCCTCCCTCTGCTCCTCTTCATCCTCCTCCCTCTGCTCTTTCTCCTTCTCTCTGCTCTCCTTTCTCCTTCTTGCCCTTCTATCTCTGCTCTTATTTTTCTGTCTTCCTTCGCCTCCTCTTCTTCCACTCTCCTCTTGTTTGCTCCCCTCTCTTCTTTCTCCTCCTCATTCTCCTTCTTTTGTTTTTTAAAATTTCCTGATGAGGATGATGAAGACGAGGATGAGGAAGATGTTGAGGATGAGGACGAGGAGGAGGAGCTTCTGGTTCTCTTTCCCTCGTCCTCACTCTCTGAAGAGGACACAAATTCCTTAGACGGGAACTTCCTGGCCGACCGGGGCCTCCTAACAGTTAGGTTTCTATGGATTTCTCTCTTGTGGAGGTTTCTCTCTCCCGGTCGGCCTTGAAGTTGCACTTGCTGCGACTCATTTCCCCATTCCCATGCACCTTGTACATTTTATGCTTTTCCCAAGGGCAAACATCTGGAAATGAACAGAAAGCAATTATAGTTCCATCAGTCCTGGTGTATATTTATCAAAGACTTATGGTTCCCTCCCCAATCAGTTCAGTTGGTACTTGCTAACTAGTGATAGAATATAATCTTCAAGATATCTTGGGCGCTTACGAGTACGCTTGGAACCATAACCACAAACCTCTTCTGCTGGAGAGTGGTCTTCTATTATAGGTAAGTACTCCACAAAATCTTCACTGTTGTTTTCCACGGGGAAATTTGGTGCTGGTATGGTATTAACCTTATGTGTTTCCCCACTTCACGGAGTTTTGCTGTTATTTGAAAGGGTCATTTCTGCAAAGTACACCATTGTTAATGGTTAACTGATCCCAAAATGCGCAATACAACTTAACAGCCTCACTGCACATTGACATTTCTGACCACTTAGGTTTATGTCCCTTTTCTAGAAAAGTCAGTACTTTTCCTATGTCCTCGTCCTGTTTCTGATTGTCGATTAAGTCCTGCTGACTTGTATCGACCAACTGTAATTGCCAAACTTCCCTAGTTACAGGTGAGTCCTCAGACGTCATACCACATTGTCTGCAAGGAAGGCGAGAAAGGCCATCTGCATTAGCATGTTTGTGTCCTGGTCTATGCTCTATTTCATAATGGTCAGAAGATAGAATCTCCAGCCACCTAGCTATTTGTCTGCATGGTTCTTTAAACCGAGTCAACCAGGCAAGTGCCCCATGATCTGTCCTTATCAGGAAGGATTTCCCATACAGATAGGGTTTGAAATGTTTGACAAAGTGTACTATAGCCAATAACTATTTCCTGGTGAAGCAATAATTTCGTTCCGGTTTTGTCAGTGTTCTACTGGCATAAGCAATTGGCCATTCAACTCCATCCTGTACCTGATTTAGTACCGCACCTATTGCAAAATCGCTCGCATCTGTGTTGAGGATGAATGGTTTGGTGAAATCAGGATGGGTCAAAATGTCGGCACTGAGGAGTTTACTTTTAAGATGTTGAAAAGCGATGGAACATTCCTGGGTCCAATTATACGCTCTGTCAACTTATGCAGACAAGCTGCAACCAGGGATGAAGCAACGGTAGTAGCTACACAAACCCAGAAAACTTCCGATACATTCTTCGGACATGGACAGTTTCTGATTGCTTCTATCTTCTTAGGGTCGGTGTGAACGCCTTGTCCATTTACAATGTGACCTAAGTATTCCACTTCCCTCTTGAGCAAATGACATTTCTTAGGTTTCAACTATAACCTGGCTTCCCTAAGTCTATCAAACACTTGCTTCAGGCGACTGAGTGCCTAATCAAAGTTGTTGCCAAACACAATAATGTCCATATTTCATATTTCCCATTGAAGACCCATAAGTACTGTTTCCATTAACCTCTCAAAAGTTGATGGTGCATTGGTAAAGCCGAATGGAAGAACTCTTGAATTGATACAGCCCTTGACGAGAACAGAAACTAGTGATGGGACGATCATCGGGGTGGACTTCGACCTGCCAGTAGCCGGACGTTAAGTCCAGGGTACTGTACGAACTGGAACCAGCTAATGAGTCTAACGAATTGTCTATTCTCGGTATTGGGTAAGCATCGATCACTGAACGATGGTTCACCGAGCGAAAGTCTACACAAAATCTTGTCGTTCCGTCTTTCTTCTTAACTAGCACAATAGGAGAAGCCCAAGGACTATTGGAAGGTTCTATGACATCTTTGTGTAACATATCCTGAATATGTTTCTTAACCTCTTCCTGACTAAGGACTGGTAACCTCCTAACTGGCTGTTTAATGGGTTGAGGATTGTCTTGCAAAATTCTATGTTGGACAAGGTTGGTTCTCCCTATGTCCGTTGACGAAGCTGAGAAGATGTCCTGATATTTAGTTAGCAAAGTTTTAAGCTTTGAGCCCTGCTCCGGACCTAAGACTGCAACAGCTTGTTTTGCCATTTCTTATAAGTATTCAGTGCTCATGAATAGCACCTGACCCTCTGACAAATCCGGAAGATTCGCCAACGGTCCGATAGAAGTCTACAACCTGCCGGCCCCAGTGTCTGACTGTATATTTTACAATGACTTTGACTGAAGTTGTTATATGTGACATGTGACACTTGTGCTGTTTATAAATATTATGTTTGTTAATAATTTTAGTGCCAGTTATAAGAAATGTAAAATGTGAAATGTGTGTTTAATATTATTCTATGGGTTCTGTGAATTTTCAATGGGTCAAACAGACATCTGAAACTTACAGGACCCAATGTCCTGTTACTTTGAAACACCATTCGTAAACACTGAGTATTCAGGTAATTCTGAATTTACTTTCTTTATGTTCCTCACCCGTCCAGGTGGACTGCCCTGCTTGGACATGATCTATTGGAAAACATTCTGCAAAATGAGTTCCCGCATAAATTTTTATATCCTCCTCAGATGGATTGAGCACCCTGACGACCACCTCAGCTTCATTTTCAGAGGCGCAAGTCAGAGTCCTATCTACGAATAACCCGCTTTTGGACATAAAAGACTGGCTTCCTTCAATGACATAGTCTTTATTTACAGCTTTTGTATTGTCAGTGAGAAATTGACCTGCCAGAATCATCTCATGACGTGCAGGGATACTTACTGTTTTCGGACAGGATACACGAACGCAGAAATCTGTCTCTCTCTCGTCTTCACAACGCAAGATTTTTTCCCGATCTCGAGGGATCCATCTCCCATGTTCAGATTACATGCGTTCTCTTTTAGAAAGTCCAGCCCGAGTATACCCTGATTTCCTATTTCAGCCACCCAGAACTCATGTTTACAAGTGTGTTTTCCCAAGCTTATATGGAAATGTTCTTTTCCCAGAAAGCTCAATGGTTTTCCATGCGCCTGTAATATCTTCTCAGCTGATGACTCTAAACTAGGTTTCCTATTTTTGTGAATTTGTGAATAACGTTTCACAGACATTAATGACACAGATGCCCCGGTATCTATCAACATGGAGAACTTTGAACCATTAGCAACAACAGGAACACAGATCCCGGAATCATCACAATTATCATTTATTTTACCACTGAGTCCTTCATCTACAGCCTTACTCCGACCCGTGAGGCTGACTCTAGTTTCTCGACTTCTTTTGGAACAGAGCTGGACAGTCGCGTTTGTAATGACCTTTTTGATTACAGTGAAAACATTCTATGTCCATGTGCTTATTGAATGACCTCCTCTTATTCTGTTTTCCTGAGGAATTACCCTGAGTTACTCTCTGAGTGAGATTTGCCACTGCCTTTGTCAAGTCAGACACCTGAGACCTTAAATCCTCGTTTCTAGTATCCTCTATCACCCTGGCAAGCTTACGCCCTCCCTGACGTTGAATTTCAGCATGTTGTAAAGCCTCCAACTCCACAGCTAACTGAACAGCCTCATCTAGGGTTCTAGGGATGAAATCACAAATAAGTTTACAGCTCTCCAAGAATATCTACAAGAATTATTTATAGGTAGAACTCCAAGATCTTCCAAAGAAGACCTCTACAAATTATTCACCAAGAAGCTAACTTCTTGACTATGCACAAAATAATTACAGTGATTCCAGTCCAAGGAAATGAGAATAATTACAATTGCAGAGTCCAAGATAATCCAAATATATCCACAAGACGAAGGAACTGGAAACTGTAACAATAATTTGCCGGGACTTATTACAACAACATATCATTAACATTTCTAACTAAATCCTTTGACCAAATAAATACCCACAAAGAAACTGTCTAAAAACAGACAACACAAAACATTATCACTTTCTAATATTATTCATCCCATCGCTGCCGCCAACAATTTATGTAAGGTCAAACAGGGGAGCGTATACTTTTTGATGCTCAGTCACTAAAATATGTACCCTTGTGCATGCGAACGTATAAGTGTAGAATTTAATATCCTAACTGATAATCTGGTAGCGCGAGTTTGTTTACAAACATGCCTAAATTCCGCCCCCTAAGTTGCATTACATTACCGAGTTCGCTTGTTACTCCCAAGAAAATATATTGCTGATAAGTGATTAATGTAGGACAAACGTGTTAAGATAGTTACACTTGTAGTATGTAAACTATTGTGTTCAGTTTAATTCGCTTGTATAAGACTTCTGCGCTTCGCGTCTAGATCATAGAAAACGTCAGCCATGTTTACTATACAATGTACTTTTTCCTAATTGGTCAGTTCCTGGAAAGACCGCCCTTTAACCTCTCTGACCCGGCATTCCTTGCGTATATAATTAGCTAGCTGGCGTTTACTAATGGCTAGACTTAGCATTTGTTTCTGAACCCGCGAAACTTCCACTTTCCATATCTCCGAAACTTTTGAAACAGCAACGTGGAAAAACGTACAAGATGCATTTCAAAAACAATAATAATTTATTAATACAGTAACATATCTACATATATACACTTAAAAAGACACTTAGAAAATTACTCTACATCGGTACATGCCGATCGTGACGTCCTACAGTACAGTAGCAACTGACTGATAACCCTAATTAGAAATTCCCCAAATTCATTATTAATAATTGTTATAAGTACTGGTTAATATTTACAAATGTTCTGCCATCCTCACCTCTTAACTTTGCTTTGTTCTGATGGAGAGATGCTTAGCTGCTTAAAGCTTCCAAAAAAAGCAGGCAGATTTACAGTAGCGTCTCCCTTTTATTCTTAATTACAATGACGTCACAATGGAAATGCACACGCTGCAGTGACCACGTGACCATGCGAGAGATTACTCGTTAGGTAATCAGCCGCGAGGATCCATCTGGCGTAGGGGCCTTGGCTGTTGCCGATGTGGGCTTTGGGACAAGTTGAAAGTCTCTTATCTCTTGATAGGGCTGACCCCAAAGAAAACCCTCTTCTACACGTTTCTCACGGTATCCATGGTCATATAAGAGTACACTGCCCCATAAATACTTTGAGGAGAACCGAGCAATATCTTGCATGAACCGGCATTTTGATTTGGTCCCGACTGATGCCGGTATTGACAGAGTACACTGTATTTTAAATAGTCCAGAATTCCTTGCTGGTCAAGTTCCTTTTCAGTAATCATATCTTTCAATATCCCTAAGCTCGCGTACGTCGACATATCTAAAGTTACTCTGCTAAGACTTGTCCTCGATCCCCGACTTCCAACATCCAAGATCACACCATCACCCAAATCCAAAGTCTTTTTGGTATCATCAACGCTATCGAAGGAATCCACCCATAGATAATCCACTATCTTCCGTGCTTTAGTGGTTTTCTTACCTCCCGCCGTCGCTACTTCTGGCTGACCAACGTCGATATGTCCGCCATGTTGTTCCACGTGGCCCCGCTGCTGCACTGAACCACCCCGATGAGAATCAGGCAAATTCCGTTCAAGAGCGCCTATTTCGGCCCTTAATTTGTTACGTTTAGTCTGTAGTTGAAGTCTTCTAAGCTCTGTTTCCAATACATCACACTCTTTTTCCAAATCTTCTGACTTCATGTTCGGCTCGCGACCGGCGACAGTCATACTCACACTAGGCGAAGACGGATGTGGCAAACTCGACGACGGCGTTTTGGGGGATTGTTTTAGCAAAGCCTCAATAATCTCTGGCATGCGAGCACCTGCTGCTTTTCTTTTTGGTTTAACGTCGGCCAGATCTGCCATTGTTATGAACAATATGAAGAAAATAAGAAAAAATTATGTGCGCTGTACCGCCATGCGGGCGGGCGTGCTTACTTGTCTAACGTGCAGTGGAAGGGAGATAACTCCATCTGGACTTATGACGATAGGAAATCTAAGGGAGGCAACTGTGCAAACATTTACTGCCTCACGTTAAAATATATTTTAAAACATTAAAATAACACGTAAACAAAGATGGCGGCGCCCATAAAAAAAACTGTCATCCCTACGCTGTTTGACGATTCTAACAACTATAGGGCTTTCGCACATACTTTATTCTGACGGTAAGGTAATAAACGTATTCTCTATATAACCGAGAACTAGTTTAATGACGTACAATCGCTTCCTAATGTCATAATCTAACCTAGTACTCCACCGGAAGTATGATGGACATTCGATTCGACAGTTACATGCAGAATGACGTAATGACCAGTACGTTTTAGAATAAGCTAATGATATCCTATTGCGCTTCAATACTTACTGTTTCTATTTATTGTTGTTAATTTACCATTAAAAAAGTAGGGATTATTGGATTTACATGATTGATAAAATGCAAATGATGAAGCCAAGGAGGAAACAGGAGGTTTCATCTGATTAGGAAATAAAGTTCGCTCTACCCAAATGTGTTTTGTAATAAAGTATAGTTTTGCCCTGAACTATTATAATTAAAGCACGAGGACGGTAGTCCGAGTGCTTTGATGTTATAATAGTTCAGGGCAAAACTATACTTTATTACAAAACACATTGGGGTAGAGCGAACTTTACATCTTTTCAAAGATGCTAAATTAAATACTTTCTAAGGATAATTACGATTAATTTAAGGCAGAAAACAAATGACGGTGTCGGTGACCTAAATTAAGAATCCTCGCACAGGGCTAACTGGTACGCTGTTCTATTGATGTGTCTGCCCCCCTACGTTAAGACGAACGTTACCAGAAAAAAACAAATGATAACAGTTTGATGACGGTTTACGTTCGGATTAAATATCTTCTCTGAATTATTTTAATTACATCTGTGATTAACGTAAACCATACGGGGCAATATGAACGTCGCATTTCTACTACCAACGTAAGTTTAGATCAGTACATCCAGATGAAGCTGAGTAGTCAAGCGACATTCCACGATTGCATTGTGGGAATGTAAACATTGCGAACGTTACCGTGTCGCTGAAAACTTGTGAGTTGAATTGGCACATTTTAAACGTCGTAAAACATAAACGTAATGTTTCCACCAGTGATATTAGCTGCGTGTAGCAACTGCAAACCAAGAAACGGGATGCATATGAGTAGTTTACTGTAGGAGGCCGTACGAGGCGATGACAACTGACATGCATCGTGACGTCACTTACATTGTGACGTAATGTAAAATAATTCGATTACGAGGGGGCACACTAGAATGGCGTCATCAAAAAACTATACCTTAATTGTCTCATAATGTATTTTTTTTTCGATTGTTCTAACCGCTAGGCATCTTAGAAATGGATATATATTACTTTTTCTCATATGCAATGGCATTGGCTAGTGGTATGCTCGCAAAAATGGAATATCCCTACTTTTTTTAATGGTATAGTAAAACGATTAAGAAGAAATCACATAATAAATCACACAAGAAGATTATCTCCCAAAACGCCATCAAACTTTGAGTGAGTTTAGTTTCAGGTGGAGAGTAAATTTGTTTTGATAAGAGTGTAGGCCAAATGGGAACATGCCATATAAACCGTCCCTTGGCATGTAATCTGCGTTATGGTGCTTCTATGACCGAAATTTAAATATTCTTGTGCGTGGAGGTTGAATAGTGCGTCTACCTGATATTACAACTTACCTGATAATACTTTGTCATCGACCTAGTCAATAATTCCCTGTTGAGCTGGTGACAGTCATAATAATTTGATCATTTGGGGACGATAAGATCGAAAAATTATTATTCCTTCAAGGATTATCGGTTCCTTATTGACAACCGACAACCATGAGTCAATTCGAAACCATATGAGTACCTTTCTTTAGCTATAATATATTTTTGACAACCAGTGCAGTTCTATCGCTAAACGTGTTTCTTTTCAGTATCGCGGACAGTGTTGGTCACAAAACATATTTCGGGAATCAATGACATGGTTAACGTAAAATGTATTTGAGTAATCTGTATTTATATTGAATTAATGAAACTATTAATTAATATGCTGCTATTCATAAAACAGCCATGTGTTACCAACTTTATCAAGTTGATGTTCTATTCATATTTGGCCACATTGACTCTGTCATTTCCCTTTTCAATTAAAGTATGTAATTCCAAATAAGAATATTTTTGTTTGTTTAATTTGTTATTTATTTTCTAAATACATTTGTTATGCTGCAGCAATATTTTGTAACTATTCCAAATTAAAAACTATTTTTTACATATTCAATATACTGTATTTATATTTGTTAGGAACTATTTGATCTCAAATAGTTCCTAACAAATATCAATATTGATATGTAAAAAATAGTGTTTAATTTGGAATAGTTACAAAATATTCAATAGAGACAATTGGCTTCATGCAATGTAAAATGCATGTGTATAAATACTTGAGGTACTAATATAAACACTATGTAAACTAATTGGTAGGCTTAATACTTTTACTCTCTTCCAAGTCCAAGGGATGACTGTATGCAAGTTCAGGTGACAGAATGACTCAAAGATACAAGAAATAAATTGTTTGTTGTTTTGCAAATGTGAAAGAAAATACATTATAAATTTTACTTTGGATAGATGACAGGGATCTGCATGTGTCAAATTGTTTCTTTGCCATGCTGTAAATATACTGATAATGATATATTGAATACAGGGATTGGAATGGAGACCTTCGACAATTTCAGGATTATTAGCCATTTCTGAATTTAGAATGGGCCACTGCCCTTGTATCAATAGTAAACTTCAAAATTTTAATGGGGCATTTTTATTCTAATGTGCAAAATGGCCCTGTCTTCCCAATGCCTGGAATAAATAGCAGTTCTTGTAACATTATAATTTTTTTTATAAATATATGAACTTTCCCATTTATGGTGATGTTTTTATTCACACAAGAAGTCATAGTGTCACAAATCAATCAACAGCACGACAAAATAACCTTGATGGCATGGTTACAATTATTTCGGTTACTACTGTCAGATATTCAAAACAAAATGTGAAAACCCTCAGCCATATGAATATTCATCATGAAACAATTATTTATCAAATTATGTAAACATTATTTTAGAGGTGATATATAAAAACTGGTTGTTGGACAATATTTATTACACTTTGTACTAGATGTCTTGGAGTGAGTGAACTATGTACTATGATCAAAAGTACATGAGTGTTATTTAGTTCTTGGTTATGCAGGGGTGAGGTTCTGCTATGCTGTAAGCAAAATATGAAGCAGCACACAGCACCTTCTAGTCACAATTGGCAAAAATGCAAGACCAAATACACTCAAAATATGGAGTAATCACTCAAAGACATTTCCTGTATTGTAAAATATACTGATCAATACATGGGGAAACTAAATGGGCATATATACTATGTCATGACTGTAGATTCTGCAGACATTGGCTGATAGCAGCATGAGTATGATTACTTGTCATGTAATATAGTGTTTTTCACCCATTTTTAGTAACTTATATATTCCAAATATTCTGCCAATGAGGCCAAGGTTGGTAACTGGCATTCCATATTTTCAACTACACAGTTAGACCAATATGTTTTTAAATAATGGTAAAGAATAATTTGACTGGTTATTGTGTTATGAACCAGTGTTGTAATCTTACAGCAAATAAAAACAAAGAATTTCATATTTCAACAAAATTCCATGTCATGTAGAATCACATGCCTATGCCATTGATTAAGTTTAACTTTTCATTGGTAAGCATGTTTTTTCCTGGAAACTGGAGTAGTGGGGTAACCTAGTGGTTAAACTGTTGCTACTTGTCACACTTTAAGCCCGGGTTTGATTCCCCACATGTGTGCAAAGTGTGAAGCCCATTGCTGCTCTCCCCAGCATGATGTTGCTGGAATATTGCTAAAAGCGGTGTAAAACCCAACTCTCTCACTTGGAAACCTTTGCTATATACACTGAAAATCTAATCTCCTACATCCATCGTTATATATTTACTGTCAAATCAATATCATGGCTAAAAGCAGAAACCTTCCAAACCATTCAATTTGTGTTTGCTTTATCCACACTTAAAAAAACAATAAACAAGTTTTAGAACTATTCTGCAATTTTATTCCAAAGACATAATTACTCATAACATATCAAACATTCTTTACATTTCCCAGATGCCAAACCTGAAAAAATACTGTGACAGTATAACCTGGAATACAAATGTTCTTTCATGGTCACTCATCTAAATTCTCACTGAATTATCTGAGAGTCCCAAGATGTCACAAGACTTTCCACAACACCTTGCTGGTTACAAGCATTTCCTGTTCCAGCAAGTGTCCAAAGGATGATGTGTAGGGCTTTAATATGTTTTATAACTGTATATACAACACTTCAATGACTTGCTGTTTCTTCATTTGCAATGTATACTGCTTGACCACCAGATGTTAAAAGAAATCTGAAGATCTGTTTCAGTTTGTGTTGCTCTTGATGTCAATGGTAATTGTGGTGATAAAGAAATCTTTTCCTCCTTCTTTCTCCTCTTAAAGATGTGCATATGTTCCAACTGAAAAAAATACATAACACACGTGAGACCAAGTATGATATACTTAATGAAATGTAAACAGTTCCTTACAATGTTGACATCAAGATATTATTGATGAATTAAGCATGTGGATGTTATGTTTAACTGAATATGCTGCACCATAGCCAAATGCTAAATGGGGTTGTAATAATATATTAATCAAGCTCATATTACAGAATACATTTGTGAGAGACACCTATTCAGAGCTATGGGTATCAATCAAAGTGTGGATATAATCATCATTGTTTACGCGCTATTAAATTATTATTTAATTCACTACATTTA